ACTATCTTCGTTCGCTACTATGTAAACTGCTGCGTTGAGAGGGGAAGATGTCATGGCCTTCAGCCATGGTACGTCATCTTTGGTATGTTTGTTTACTCTTTTGAGTCAGGTTTCCTTGAGTCATGAGCATGGGATGCTTGACTCAGGAGTCTTGACTCACTTAGAACTATATATGCCCATGTATCTTTTCGAATGTGTGTGTGTCGTCTCTTCGTCATCATCTTGGTATGCCCTACTTAGTTTATATTCGGTTCAAATACATTTCCTGGATTTATAACAATTGCTATTCTCAGCTAGACTTGTGCTCCTACCCATCCTCTTTCTAACGGTAGAAACTTCACGTCGATAGCTATCATATTTCGCTGGTGAATCATCTTATGTGATGATTTTCGTGTGTTGAAGAAGAAATCATAACGACGTAGATCAACCTCGTTGGTTAGATGTTTTTAACCCTTGGGGACGGGGTTACTGTAGCAAAAAAACATGAAATTTTTTGAAATACCGAACAATGCATTTATTCATATATATATATGGTATGGGTGTGGTGTCTTGTGACTATGTTGCGGCTGTGGATGTGACTGCAAGAAGAAGAACACCCACACTTCACACCCACACCTATAGCCATAACCACACCCGCATCGGAAATGATAAATCTATGATCTATACTGTCATATCTGTCATTAGAGTATCGTTAGAGATATGCTTAGGTCACATACTGATTGTATTCGAATCCAAGCACACATATGTGCTTCCCGTCCCCAAAGGGTTAATGCTGATAAAATATCAGTTATTAATGATATAGAAAAATTTGTTTTGATACGATCATGACCATTATTTGAACTCAATAATGGAATTTGATATGCAGAACAAAAACAATATAACCAATCAAGATCATCGGAGTTTGCATGAGCGACCAGATACATTATTCCATTTGATAATTGTTTACATAATATGGACCATGTGTCGATATCAGAATCATTGAAATTGAATCCATCAAGAAATTCAGTTATGTTATATTGAAAACATCGTTCGAATTTATTAAAAAAATATTCACGAACTAATGGACTAATATGAGTATAAAATTCTTGATCAGATTCATAAAACAATAAACCTATTAAAAATCGAGTTTTTCTTGTTTTATTATTGAGAAAAACTAAATCTTACTAACAGGAATATTTAAGATCAATTGAACAATTTTTACATATCCAAGATAATAAAAAACTAATAATAAAATCCAATACATATTTGAAGAAAATAATCTTACGAATATTCTGAATAGATTTTCTTTTCTTCTGTTGTTGATGTGTCGTCAACAATTTAACATATGACAGTTCGATGTTAAACAATAAATTTTTTATCTTCTTTTGATCAGTTTATTAATTTTTTAATGAATATGAATAGAAAAAAAAGATTAACATGAATAAATGTATATGAATAGAAAAAAAAAGAACAACGTGTAAAATGTTTAGTAATAGCGATGAAAAAAAGTCTTGCAAGTATCTAAGGCTTTTGTCATTTTATGCACCAACTGTTTATGCTCGAAATTTGATGAAAGATGGGAATTTTTTGCTTTCTTTAATAAATCTAATTGTTGTTTTCCTGTTTTAATTTTGTGATGAGTTAATGTAGATCTATCTCTACGTAAGTATCGAATATCAGTTAAACTAAGATCAATTTCTTTTTGTAATGGCTCTAAATATTGTATCAATGGTGCATACAAATCTTCATATTTAACTGAAGAACGACCTTGAATTGATTTTAGTATTTTCTTGTTTGTTTCTTGTTCCAATTCAATCAAACGGTTGGTAAACTTATCGCAAGAATCATTACCGAAACGCTGTAAAAATAGTGGTTTTACAAAATATTCTTCTTACAAAGTTGATAAATCACTAGCAAGTATAAAAGCTTCCTCCATGTTTGACTCTTCTTGTAATTTACTAACTTGATTATATAAAAAATCTGTATTGTCTTCAAGAATACGCACACGATTCAATGTTTCGTAAAAGACATGAGAATGTTCTTCCAGAAGTTCAGAAATTTTTCCAACAATATTTTTTAAATCATCTTGGTTAATTGCTGTTGATAATTTAATTAATTCCTGTTTTACTTTTTTTAAATACATGTCCGTAGACGTTGATGTCATGAAATAACGTTGGAATGCTTAAAACGGTTGAGATAAGCTACACACA